TATGCGTGTGTGCTTATAAAAATGTAACCTTTCTGTAAAAATCGACGTCAATGGAAAGTCTTACCCAAACAACTTTACTATTGCTTTTGTGAAAAACTCTACTCTAATAATTAATTTTCATCATAAATACTACATATTCGGGGTGAATTAATTGAATTTTAATAAATATTATGAATAAAAACTTCTAATTATGAACGCTAAGCGCCATTTAGCATAGAACTAAAGACTTACCTACCAATATCAGATTAAAGCTGATTTAATAAAGTGAGAGTTGAACTTTATTGCATGCTTATATACGTAAAAAGTATTTTTACGTCAATACTTTTTAAGTATACCACAAGATGGCGTTACTCTGCGAAAAATGTAAACAAGAAATAATGAAAACGCTCTCACAGAATACCAGCGTAAAATAGCAGCTTAATGCTGCTATGTTTCGTATGGTGAGTGTAGAGAACCGGAGACTCTTTTTACTGGAAAAGAGACATTCCATCTTAGTCCTCACGGATGACAACGCATCTGCATTTTGATTCGTAATCGAAGATAGATGCAGATGTCTTTGGGCCACAGCAACCACTTACCATCAGGTGGACTGTGTGCTCGTTTGTCACCCTTATCCTATAAAAAAAAACCTCTCAGTTGTTCACAGTCTTGCTCTCTTACATTGGAGTCTTACGTTAGTGACTATAGAACAGGCATTGATTGCATAATTTTGCCTAACATCACAACACATCTTCCTTCTACGTATTTCAACATACAGAACATACAAATATCATCACGTCTTTGTTTAGCTGATCCTTCATTTCACATTCCATCTACAATTGACATTTTAGTAGGAGCAGAAATATTTTGGAAAGTGATTGGAACAAATCGTATTAATTTAGGAAAAAATAAACCTACTCTTTTCGAAACATGATTAGAATGGCTTGTGTCAGGTTCCATCTTGGAAAATAATCTTAATAATAAACAAAACTATAAATGCATGTTGAGTTACCATTTAGACATTGATCTCACTCGTTTCTGGGAGTTAGATTCTATTTCTCCCAAGCATAATCTTTCCCCTGAAGAACGTGCGTGTGAGAAAATTTTTATTAAGACCACAGGACCTAAGTCAGATGGATTTATTGTTTCGCTGCCACTTAAATAATCACCCGCAGTCTTGGAAAATTCCTATCATTAGGCTGAGCGTAGATTTTTATCTTTGGAGCGTAGATTAGATCGAGATCCTATTATAAAACAATTATATGTAGAATCCATGAAATAGTACCTTACTCTTGGTCACATGACAAAATCTCAATTGCATCAAAACATCACTTGTTATTTACCTCATCATGGTGCTTTAAGTGAATTTAGTACGACTACAAAGTTACGCGTAGTCTTCAACGCGTCAACGATTACATCACTTGTTAAATCACTAAACAATATTTTGAGAGTAAGGCCAACATTACAAGAAGATCTATTGTCCATCTTGTTAAGGTTTAGACAACATAATAACGTTGTGACCGCTGATGTAGAAAAGATATTTCGCCAAACAGAAGTCTTCAATAAGCAACGCGCATTTCAACAAATCTTATGGAGGTTCGACCCCTCTCATCCTATCAAATGTTATCAACTCAATACAGTTACTTACGGATCATTTTCAGCACCTTATCTAGCTACACGATGTTTGTATATGATAATGTTAGGCCAGGAGTCTACAAATCGAGATACAAAACAAGCAATTTGTAATGATTTTATGTTAATGATTTTTTTATCTGGTCATAAAACTCTAGAAGAAGTAATTTCACTTTGTCACGGAGTATGTAAGGTCTTAAAGTCAGTTCAGTTGAATTTGCGTAAATGGTATTCTAGCAATAACAAAATTTTACTAGCGGTGTCCGATAAGATTTATTTATCTGAATCTGTAGATCTTAGTAATGAAAACCTTTCTAAAACATAAGGTTTAAATTGGATATGCTTTGCGGATACTATTTCGAATATATCCAATTTCTATACAATTAAAAGACATTGACAATAAACGTTATATTTTACAGACAATTGCCCAAATATTTGATTTCCTCGGCTTTAAAAAAATGTAGTTGGGATGAGCCAGTTCCAGCTCATATTAAAAAGCTTGGTCAGATTTTTATATTTTATATAAGACATTACCAACGTTAAATAGTCTTAGTATACCAAGGTGCATTGCTTCTTAAGGACCAAATAATACACAAGTGCATATATTTACAGACGCGGCGGAGAAGGCTTATAGGCTGTAGCATTTATTAAACCAACTCAGTACAGTCCAAGTTTATTTATTCTCATCAGGGTTGGCTCCCTATCACAAGGTATACAGGACACTGTCCCCAACAGTGACACAACTACATTTTCATTGATATTGCATTCAGAACTAAACAAAAAAGTAATTGATTACGTCATTTATTTACCATATTGCGGTTGCCAAACAGTCTGCCAAGGCAGTTTTTATTACCTTAAGTTGTTGTCAGAATGATGCTGCTGCCCATTACCTGTTTCAGTTTCCTTCTTTCGTCATTTACAACACTCACGTGATAACAATATACTGTAGTGAACGGACATTATACGGCCGAATCACGAGTAAAGTACATACAATTAAATATATTATACTAAATTTAAAACTTTCCCATTGGACAACATTGAGAAAAATGCTCTGCTTCGCTATTCCTAATGGATCACGATAATGGAGGTACACGATAAAAGATTTCCCTGAATAGCCATGACTTATAATGTCGCCTGGCTTTCAACTATCGCTTTAAGTAACAAGTTTTGTTTGTATACGTCCATTTAAGCTTTTTTACCTTTATAAAAAGTGAGTTTACGAAGGTGTTCTCAAAGGGGACAAAGGATGAATATTTCGCAAATTATAATTTATTACACTCCTAAAATTAATAAATGTTTCAGATATGTAGTTTATCTTCCTCTATCGGAAAACCCAACGCTGAATCAGTCTCTTTTATAGTAACAGAGTCAAACGAGCACAAGAGTGAGACATATAACTAGAACTACTACTATGTGTACTACTATATGTCTGACTCTTTCGCTCTTATGGCTATAAGACATTTTGGCATTTTGGTAGGTATTTGGCTCCAGAGCAAAATAGCTCTTAACATTTAAAAAGCTAGCAAGTGTGAATTAACGCTTTATCCTAGATAATGATTCTATCGTCACATTTTTTTCTTGTTTATCATATATATATTCTAGCTGTCTCAACATTGGTGAGACTTCTAATCTTTCTTACAGCACATGCTGCAGAACTAAGTCTGTATGTTAGCTTAGATACATGAGGGCCCTGCCAAACTGCGATTGCAATTCGACCTGCCAAGTGTTGCGATTTTGACAAATACTCTCTACAATTGTAGAGACCTTTGTCGAGCAGTTGGAAGGGCTGCTTATGACACAGAAGAAGTTATTATAGTTATTACTATTATTTTTTATTTAATCAAACACTAACAAATTTGTTTACTTCAGATCCGAAGCGAACAAGTATATTTCTTTATTCTTCAAATCGCTCCGAATTCGAATTTTAGAAAAAGTATAGAGTAATGCGAATATGAGAAACCTCGTTGAATAAATTCGAAAAAGCTTTTTGCGTTGAGTAACTTATGTGAAATTTTTAAATGAGGGAATGTTCGATATTTTTTTTTATACTGTGAGAGCTTTCTTCACTCCCTAGGTTAGAGATTGCTTTCATGGCATCTGCCGTTACTGAGGAGGGCTCGAGCAAAGTCACTTAGCGAGATAGATTTTTATTTTATATAAGAGTGGGTAAACGAGAATGTCTCACCTGTTGGTATCGACAGCCGCCCATTAACAACTACAACATCAGGAGAATTGCAAATGTGTCGCCGGTATTTTTAAAATGATTAAATTTCTAGAAGGTCCCTAAGTCGTATCGGTCCGAAAAAATCGCCAGATTCTTTTTTACCTTGTTAAGTCAGCAAATTATCTTAACTTTACCATTACAACCTATCACTATTAAACACTACAGTCAATAACTTCGATTAAGATTCAAAATTAACATGAGTTCTCACCTCTGAATGCTGAGGTATAGTACGCGTCACTTAAAAAGAACGCTGGCGGTCAAGCTGCGCATAGGCGATTTATCGGTCTACTTGGTGGTATGAGGTAGGGCGCGGGGCGGGTGAGCCACGCGCCGCATGTTTACCGATGCGCTATTGGTTCATCAGTTGAGCTTTGCTTCCCGCGTATATCCACGTTACGTTCCTTTTAAAAATACCATGGCGCACAAAAGTTTTAAATTACGAAATGGTTTTACATAGAGAAGTGAGAAAAATGATTTATGACGTATACTGTTTTATGAAGAGGGAAGCTGATTATAATGTAGTTAATAATTTAAAACAATGTATGAAACGGACCGCAGAGGCAACAAAATGTTCCGACTCGACAGTGAGACGAATAGTAAAGGGTTCAAAAGATTCGGAATTTCTTACTGTTTTCCGAACTCCCGGCAAAAATAAAAGAAAAAAAACAAAACCAATAACAGACATTGACAGCTTTGACCAGGGTGTTATAAAAAGAATGATCCATAATTTTCACGTTACTGAAAAAGAATTGCCTACCATAGGCAAGTTGCAAAGGAAGTTACAGGATGACATACATTTCCAAGGATCTGCAGCAAGTCTCAGGCGAGTATTGAAAAACTTGGGTTTTAAATGGAAAAAAACGGAAACCAATAGAAAAATCTTAATTGAGCAGTCACAAATTCGATTTCAAAGAATTGAATATCTGAGAAAGATTAAAAAATATAGAGAGGAAGTAAGACCTATCATTTACACTGACGAATCATACGTCGATAGTTCCCATGCGTCTCACCATGCTTGGACAGACGGTTCCACCAAGGGCATTAAAAACCTGTATCTAAAGGTAGCCGCTTAGTCATAGTGCATGCGGGTGGCGATGCAGGTTTTGTGCCGAATGCTTTACTGACGTTTAAAGCCGGTACAAAAAGCGGCGACTACCATGACAATATGAATTCTGAAAATTACGAGCGGTGGCTCCGTACTCAACTGATACCAAATTTACCGCCTAATTCAGTCGTGGTAGTCGATAATGCATCGTACCACAATAAACAACTCGATGCTGCACCATCGTCCAATTCAAAGAAAGCAGACATGCAAACCTGGCTTCGTCAAAAAGGTATTAAATTTGAAGAGACCATGCTAAAGCCGGAGTTGTACATCTTAATAAAAAAATGCAAAGATAAATTTAAGAAATTTAATATCGATGCTATTTTGAACGAAGCAGGACATTCTGTACTTCGTTTGCCCCCATATCACCCGGACCTGAATCCTATTGAAATGGCCTGGTCCCAAATAAAAAGTTATGTTGCCTGTAAAAATGTAACTTGGAACCTGACACGTATAACTGAGTTGATTCATGAAAAAGTAAATTTAATGGGAGCAACAGAATGGGAGAAGCTATGCACGAAGGTAAAAGAAATAGAGGCTGATTACTGTAAAAGCGATCATGTGGTGGACATGATGACAGAAACATTTGCTATCCACATAGGGGATTATGATTCCGACTCAGATGAGGATGGAAGCTCGAGTGACGACAGCGACGACGATGAAATGGCCACTTCTAGCACCAACACCGCGTCCTCATCTGGTTTTCACGTCACGCATGATGACTTAATGGAAGGAGTTTCAACATTAATTTTATTTCGATTAAACATTCTATAATACATAATTCAAACATGTTTTTAATTCATTTTATTGATATTTTATCTAATATATTTTTCAATGTTATAACTAATAAGAATAACAAATATATAGGTACGAAGCCACGACCCGCGAGCGAAAGCCTAGTTAAAAAATAAATTAATAGGCACATAACTTTCGTGCGAGACTGTATAATGCGCAAACAACAAACACACTCACACCACCACTTTCTTCCAGCGTTCTTTTTACGTGACGCGTGTTATAAAATGCCTTAATAATTGTAAAAAAAATCTCTCGACACTTAAGACATTAGTTGAAACCCAGCAGTATAATGCAACTTTGGTCAATCTTACTTATTCGTGCTGTGATAAAGCTAAAACTCAATAAATATTTCAACAATTAAAAATTATTTCTTGGTGAACTTGCACGAATGAATGACAGATTATATGGGGCTGCAAGATGACGCTTTATAGACAAGCGTGAGCGTTGAGAGTGCTGAGATGTAGATAAATGAAATAAATTGTTCAATAATGAAAAGTTGCGTTTTCTTACTTTTCACCGAATACCACATATATATTTTTTCTTTATTTATATAAAATCAGAGTTAGCCCTTACTTTATATAGGTGTAATTACGTCCATAAATAAAATTATTCACCCCTTATATCAGAGACTGCCTAACTTTCTGTTAGGTTAAAATTTGTACTGAAAATAAGTCGACATTGTTGAACGAAGTTTGTAGTCCAAAGTTGCGGTGTTAATTAGTTGCCTACATATATTTGTTTACATTAAAATTTAAATTAAGATTTATAAGGCCTTTGTGTTCTGGAGCTTGACAGCATCAGTTTTTATTTTTCTAAATACTGTTTTGTTCGGGGACGAACATAAATTACAACACATCTTTTGGAACTAGTGCAATATCTACCAGACTGCATTTCTGTCACGATGGCGTTCTGTCACTGGCAAAGTCCGATGGAACGGTAATCCAAATCTACCGAAATGAGATCAGGCCGCGGACCAACGGCTTTACGTACTTTTTACGTGGTAGAGTCATGCCGCAGCTATATTAGTAGTATAGTTGTGGCACGAATGCGTCGGCTGGACCGGGTAAGGACCACGCTCTCACAGAATACCAACGTAAAATAGCAGCTTAACGCTGCTGTGTTTCGTATGGTGAGGGTAGAGAACCGAACCCATTTTTACTAGAAATGAGGCATTCCATATTAGTCCTCACGGGTGACAACGCATCTGCATTTTGATTTGTAATAGCAGCATGCGCAGCAACCACTTACTATCAGGTGCACTGTGTGCTCGTTTGTCACCCCTATCCCATTAAAAAATTGATTGAAAAAGATTTTTATGTTATTTTTTGACCTATATTCAGTAGTGTAGTGCAGACTTGTGTAGGATTGTAATGGTGATGCTGATCATCAAATAGGCTAACAATTGTGTGTGTGTGTGTGTGTGTGTGTGCGTGTGCGTGTGCGTGCGTGCGTGCGTGCGTGCGTGCGTGCGTGCGTGCGTGCGTGCGTGCGTGCGTGCGTGCGTGCGTGCGTGCGTGCGTGCGTGCGTGCGTGCGTGCGGGCGTGCGGGCGTGCGTGCGTGCGTGCGTGCGTGCGTGCGTGCGTGCGTGCGTGCGTGCGTGCGTGCGTGCGTGCGTGCGTACGTGTGTGTGTGTGTGTGTGAATGGAACTATCATGAGGAAACTTCCACGTTGTAAAAAATGATATAATCTATTGAATATTATGGTTGGTATATCCTTGTGAGAGCCGTGGTATTTAAGTGGCTAACCACTCACTGTAAATTTCATAGTGGACAAGCAACCCGGGTTCGTTCCCCGCCGGCAGAAATGAAATTGTTATGTACAATTTTAAGTGCTGGTTTACCACATGCTCGGCGGTATACGAATACATGGTTAGAAAACGTGCATATCTGAGAAATAAGAAAAAAATATTTCGAAAACATGTGAAATTTGTTAACACGCACAGATATTTCCTTACCTTAAAGAACATTGTGGCAGATATTTCCTTACCCTAAATCCTCAGAAACAAGAGGAGGCCTGTGCCTAGCGGTGACACGTTTATAGGCTGTAACTTCAACTTTAATTGAAGACCCTTTTCAGTCATATTTTTAACATACGTTTAATTGAAAACCTTACACATACATTGTTTCTTGCTAAGCAACACTTAGCAACTGCGCAACAACGCCATCTCAGATTAAATAAAGCATACTACACTAATCATCTTCAATTTGTCAGCCGGTAATAGATTACTGTAAAATATAAATCTCCAGCGGCTATTAATTATAATGGTTTATAAAATATGCGAGGTATTTTCATATCATCATCATCATTACAGCCCTTCACAAGTCCACTGCTGAACATAGGCCTCCCCCAAAGAATGCCACAAAGCACGGTCCTGAGCCACCTGCATCCATCGACTTCCTGCATGTCTTACCAGGTCGTCACTCCATCTCGTGGGGGGACGCCCTACACTTCGCCTACCGGTACGAGGCTGCCACTCGAGAACCTTTCTTCCCCATCGGTTGTCGGTTCTTCGAGCTATATGGCCGGCCCACTGCCACTTCAGCTTACTAATCCGTTGGGCTATGTCGGTTACTCTGGTTCTACTGCGGATATCCTCATTCCTAAGTTTATCACGCAGAGAAACTCCGAGCATAGCCCTCTCCATAGCTCGCTGAGCGACCTTGAGCTTCCTCATACGGCCAGCAGTGAAGGACCACGTCTCAGTTCCATAAGTCATTACTGGCAACACGCACTGGTTGTACAATTTCGTTTTCAGGTTTTGAGGTATGTCTGACGAGAAGATGTGTCGTAGCTTCCCGAACGCTGCCCAGCCGAGTTGAATCCGTCGATTGACCTCTCGGTCGAAGTTGGACTTACCTAGTCGGACTATTTGTCCCAGGTAAACATACTCGTCAACAACTTCGAGCTTAGTGTTCCCAACAACTACCGGCATAGGTGTGACATGGACATTAAACATGATCTTTGTTTTGTCCATGTTCATCTTAAGACCTATCCGTTGGGAAACACTATCGAGGTCATTGAGCATAGTGCTTAGGTCCTCCAGCGATTCTGCCATAAGGACTATATCGTCGGCAAATCGAAGGTGAGTGATGTACTCGCCATTGATGTTGATACCGTATCCTTTCCAGTCCAGAAGCTTGAAAACGTCTTCCAATGCAGCGGTGAAGAGTTTCGGGGATATGACGTCACCCTGTCTTACACCTCTCTGCAATTGGATAGGTTTCGTACTCTGGTTCTGTACTCGGATAGCCATCGTAGCCCTACTGTACAAGCACTTCAACACTTCGATATACCGACAGTCAACTTGGCACCGCTGAAGGGACTGCAGCACCGCCCAAATTTCGACGGAATCAAAGGCTTTCTCATAGTCCACATACGCCAGACATAGTGGCAAATTGTACTCTTCGGACTTCTGTACAATTTGCCGAAGGGTATGTATGTGGTCTATGGTGCTAAAGCCCTTTCGGAAACCGGCTTGTTCGGGAGGCTGGAAGTCGTCAAGTCTGCGCGCGAGACGATTCGTAATGACTCTCGAAAACAGCACGTAGACGCGGCTCAGAAGGGAAATCGGTCTGTAGTTCTTCAAGAGGGCGTTGTCACCTTTCTTGAAGAACAAGACCACCGCACTTCTGCTCCACGCCTCCGGTGTAATGCCACCATGGAGGACGGAATTAAAGAGCTTCTGAAGGACTTCAAGTACCGGTCTTCCACCCGCTTTCAGAAGCTCCGCTGTAATTCCATCCTCGCCTGGGGCCTTAAAGTTTTTAAGGTGCTGGAGAGCCATTCTAATCTCGCTCAGACTGACGTCCGGGATATCTTCGGAATAGTGTCGGATGAGACTCGCTCTTGGATCGTTACTCACACTTGCGTGTGGCTCCAACGATGACGTGTACAGCTGCCCATAGAACCTCTCAATCTCACTCAAAATCTCAGGTGTCCCGGAAACGATGCTGCCACATTCTGTCTTCAGCTTTGACAGTTGGCTCTTTCTGGCAGACAGATCTCTGGCAAAGACTTTGGAGCCTTGGTTCCGCTCGATCGCCTCTTCAATACGAGCTGTATTGAAGTTGCGCAAGTCCCGCCGCATGCATTTCGAGATCTGTCTGTTCAGATGCCTGTATGCTGTCAAGTCTGTTGAAGAATGTAGCTTCATCTCCCGTCTAACAGCCATGAGATTAAGAGTGTGATCGGAGAGTTTTTGTGTTCTTCTGCGGCGGGTCTTGCAGAACTTAGCTCCGACCGCATGGACAGTTTCCACGAGCTTGTCATTCATATCGTCCACTTCATTGCAGTCTTCTAGGCACTGAAAACGGTTTTGTAACTCGAGCTGAAAGGTCTCGGGACCTTGGAACAGAGCACGAGGGGGACGGAGCGTTGACTTCATTAGACGAGACCTCTCCAACTTAACGTTTAGGTTCAGTGTGCCTCTAACCATTCGGTGATCGCTACCAGTTTTCACCCTCGCGATCACGGAGACATCACTGAACAGCTGTCGTCTGGTCGTCATAATGAAGTCAATCTCATTTTTTGTCGAACCGTCGGGGCTCGACCAGGTCCACTTCCTGTGGGGCCGCTTCTGGAAGAAAGAGTTCATCATAAAGAGTCCCTCTTTCTCCATGAAGTCGGCCAGCTGCTGGCCCCTTGGGTTCCGTTGCCCTATTCCAAATTTCCCTACTTTCAGCTCACCGTTCTCTCTTGTGCCTAGTTTTGCATTGAAGTCTCCCATTAACACCGTATATTGGGTTTTGGAGGAATGCATGGCTCTAGAGATATCCTCATACATTTCCTCCACCTCCCCATCGGGGTGTGCCGAGGTTGGTGCGTAAACCTGTATGACCTTCAGCGAATACCGTTTGGTGATTCTGAGTATAAGGTACGCAACCCTCGTCGACACACTCCCGATCTTTACAACGTTGTTAACGAGAGACTTGTGGACGATAAATCCGACACCTCCTTGGGACAGATGGTCGCCCTCCC